TGGTCATATTGGTAATAAGGTCTATTCAAGATGGCGGTCGTATTGGTAATAAGGTCTATTCAAGATGGCGGTCGTATTGGTAATAAGGTCTATTCAAGATGGTGGTCATATTGTTTARAATGAACTGAGAGCCCGATTWAAACAAACAACAACAAAGAAAATTTTATTATATCCTATTTCACACACTCATAATCTCTATTTCCTATAACTACTTCTTTTTAATTGAAATGTACCAAGCCTCGCTCTAGGGCTACTCTTGTTTATTTTATTCATGGGCAGCGGTTTGATTTGCCCATAGGCATATTTCCAGTAATCCTTTGGGAGGCTCGCTACATGTCCTCCTATATCGTCTACAATTTTGCGCGAGGCTCGAGTGCGTGAGTCTCTAAGCTCCGTWCCCACTTCTTTAAGAATCTGTTGTTGCTTTCTAAATGATTCAGGGTTACCAAGGCTACGGAATCTTTCTTGAGCCATACGATTCACAATACCTTGCCTTGAATTTGTATCCGCGTTTAAGTCTTTCAATCGATGCTCAACGACAAACTGAAGCTCTCTCAACTTTTTCTCTTGCTCCGCGTCCTTTGGTTTAAGTTGAGGCCTTCTAATGTAATACTGTTGCATAAGTTGTAAGCGTTTTTGTTCRCGTATCTGAGCCTCTTTGCGGTGATCCAGAACATCTTGTGCTCGTGCGTGCGATTCCTCGAAATCTTGTTTTCTTGAGTACTGTTTTTGAAGTTCTTGTTCACGTTCGTCTTGGGCAATTTCATTGGAAGATGCTTCGTCTTCGTGCTGTTGATGCTGCTGTTCGTGTTGTTGTGTTTTTCGTAACTGCTTGTCTTCTGCCTTTGGAAGCGTTTTTTCTTGTTCGTTCTGGTCGCTAACTTGTTCAAAAACCTGCTTTATGTCATCTAATTCAGGGTGTTTTTCTTTGAGTATAAGTTGCTGTTGTTGCTGCATCTGTTGTTGTTGGAGTTGTTGCTGTTGCTGTTCCTGCTCTTGTTGTTGCTGYTGTTGTTGTTCCAGCTGCTGCAGATCTTGTGTTTGTTGCTGTTGTGTTTGTTGTACCGCTTGGTCTTGCGTTTGTTGCTGAACTTGGGGTTGTTGCTGCTGCTGTTGTTGTGCTGCTTGCTGCTGCTGAGGCGATTGTTGTTGCTGCGGCTGTGGTTGCTGCTGTTGCTGTGGTTGCGGCTGCTGCTGCTGTTGTTGTTGCTGCGACTGTGGCTGTGGCTGTGACTGTTGCTGTTGTGGCTGTTGCTGCGGCTGCTGCTGTTGTTGTTGCTGTTGTTGCTGTTGCTGTTGTTGATTTTGTTGTTCTGCCTGCTGTTGGAGGAGTTGCTGTCCCTGTTGCTGTGGCTGCTGCTGATTTTGCGGTGTTTGTATCTCTTTATCCTGTTGCTCCGGTTGATTTTGCTGTTCAAGTTCTAAAGTGAAAATCTCTTGTTGCTGCTGTAGATGCTCTTTATCATCTGCACTTTCCATCTTYTCTTTGCCTGGTTGTTCTTTATCTTTTGCAGTCATTTTTATTGACTGTTTAAAAACCATCTCATAATGCTTCAAGGCGTCCAAGAAGCTTGCCTTTACACTGTTTGAAGCAGCCAAATTCTCTTCTATTTTGTCTGAAAACCATTCGTTGATAGTGTTATTTGAGTACAGCCTGGCTAAGGGTCCTTTTGCTTCCYTTTTCAGTTTCTCCAGTAACTTGATAGCTCTAAAGATAATGCAATAAATCAATCTGGGAAAGCATGGCGAATTGCCCTATCGCATAATTACGTCACACCAAAACATTTTAACGCTAAGGATTATGGTCGCCAGATGGGATCAGAGTGACTGTATATCAAATAAAATGTACTGTATGTTGTATGGATGACTTACGCAGGTTGCATGCGATGGTTGTAAGCAAAAGTTGCGTCGTCTAAATGCGCTTTTAAACTA